GTCATCAGCTAGCAGCGCAAACATTGATACTTCTGCCGCTGTGCTGCCCGAAAAAGAGAACAAAAACAAGGAAAATATTAAGCCGGCTGTGCAGACTGGTATGGATCGCTACATCCAAATAAAAAGAAAGCTGAGCCCCCTAAACTCTCAACGCAAAATAACCCGTGGCAATGATGTTAGCATGCGGCTATGTTAGAGCCGCAATAGAAACGCGCACGAACTCAAACCGTTTTAAAATCTTGGCAGACTATGAGGATGACGCCGAATCTACAGAAGTCGAAAAAAGGAAGCCTAAGCCCCCGCCAATATACATACGAGAAAAAAGTTCCAACGCTCTTGTCAACAAAATTATAGAGCTCATTGGCAAGGACAACTTCCACATAATACCACTCGTAGAGGGCAACATCCAGGAAACAAAAGTTCAAACGATGTCTGAAGATAATTACAGAGTATTATCGAAATACCTCACCGACAAAAAAAAGAGCTTTTATACGTATCAGCTAAAAAGCAGCAAGGGCTTGCAAGTCGTACTTAAGGGCATAGAGCCCGAAGTATCGCCTGCAGAGATAACAAAGGCGCTACAAAAGAAGGGATTTAGCGCTAAGACAGTGTTCAATATCTCTAACGGGGATAGAAAGCCACAGCCACTCTTGAAGGTTGAGCTCGAACCACAAATTAAGCCCCTAAAGAAATACGAAGTGCACCCTATATACAATCTTCAGTTCCTGCTGCACCGCAGAACTACAGTTGAGGAGCCGCACAAACGCAATGGCCCGGTACAATGTGCGAGCTGCCAAGAATAAGGCCATACAAGGTCTTACTGTAACTGTGCCCAGTCTGTGTAGTTTGTGGTGAGCTTCATGACTCCGCACACTGCCCAGCGAGATGACCAAATCTCGAAAAAGTGCGGCAACTGCGGTGGAAATCACACTGCTAACTATAGAGGTTACCCAGTTTATAAGGAGCTGAAAAGTCGTATCCACCAGAGGGGATTTACTGCCAGCACCCAAAATAATCAGTTCATAGCCTCCAGGTCAAACCCTGAAGTCTTCTTCTCGACTGCAGCCAGATCCTCACTAGGACCCATAAACTCTGACAAAAATGTCACATACGCAAGCGCTTTAAAATCAGGACTGGCTACCCCAGCCTCAAAAAGCTCACTGCCGCAATCAGCACACCAAGAACCGAACACGGCTCAGCAGCATCAACCGCCGGAGCAGCCAAAAAGTAACTTTGAAGCTATGATATGCAGTCTACAACAAAGCCTTACGGAGTTCATGTCGTTTATGCGTACAACTATGCAAGATCTAATGCGAAACCAAAATCTATTAATACAAATGCTGGTTTCACAACAATCCAAATAATGACTTCCCAACGAATATCTACATGGAACGCTAACGGCGTTTCGCAGCATAAACTCGAGTTAGCGCAATTCCAACTAGACAATCAAATCGACGTAATGCTGCTTTCAGAAACACATCTTACGAACAGATACAATTTCCAACTACGAGGATATTCATTCTATGGAACAAATCATCCAGACGGTAAAGCACGCGGCGGGACTGGAATTTTAATCAGAAGCCGTGTCAAGCACCATTATCATACGAAATTTGAAAAAACTACCTACAGGCCACATCAATAAATATACACCTAAATACTGGCAAGCAATTAACTCTAGCTGCCGTATACTGCCCCCCACGCTTCACCATAGCCGAAGATGAGTTTATGGAGTTTTTCAACTCACTCGGAGACCACTTCATAGCAGCAGGAGACTACAATGCCAAGCACACACACTGGGGATCTCGTCTCGTGACCCCAAAAGGAAAGCAGCTCTATAATGCCATTATCAAAGCTAAGAACAAGCTAGACTATGCTTCTTCTGGCACACCAACATACTGGCCGGCAGACCCAAAGAAACTTCCCGATTTAATTGACTTTGTGATTACCAAAAACATTCCTAAAAATCTGATAAGCGCCGAATGCCTTTCGGATCTTTCATCTGATCACTCGCCTGTCCTTTTTATTCTACTCGAACACCCAGGAACATGCGAACAATCATCAAATCTGACCTCACATAAAACCAATTGGGTTAAGTACAGGAAGTACATCAGCTCACACATTGAGCTGAGTCCTCACCTCAGCGACGAAGCCAACGTAGACAGCTTTGTTAATTCGCTGGAGTCTGTACTCGTCTCTGCAGCTCGAGTTTCAACACCTCAAACTATAAACACACAACCCTTTCAAAAGAAGACAAATCTACAAATCGAACAGCTCGTCCTCGAAAAGCGAAGCTTACGTCGAGAATGGCAATGTCACAGATCGCCATCTGCTAAGCAACGCTTCAACTTGCTAAGCAACGCTTGAAACATCAACTTGATCAAGCTCTACAGCAAGAAAAAACGTATGTCCACCACCGCTACATAGAGCAATTGTCAACTAACGGTACGAAACACCCAACTCTGAGCTCACCGAAAGAAACCGTGATGCCTATTAGAAATTCCACAGGCGGGTGGGCGCGCAGCGACGCAGACAGAGCCAGCACGTTTGCCAAACACCTTCAAAATGTCTTCCAACGAAATCCTGCCACCAATGCGTTTACTTTACCGACTCTATCAGATGAGCCCCAGCCTCAACATGAGCCGATTGAATTTCGCCCAAACGAAATGGTTAACATCATCAAACGACAACTGAATCCGAAAAAATCCCCGGGCTGCGACCTCATAACTCCCAAAATGATCATTGAGCTCCCATACTGCGCCGTTGTCACTCTCACTTTGGCCACTTTCCAGTGAGATGGAAAAAGTCAATTATAATAATGATAGCAAAGCCGGGAAAAGACCACACTATCCCCACGTCGTATAGACCTATAGGCCTACTCTCTTGCCTATCTAAACTCTTTGAAAAATGTTTAATGACTCGGATAAACACATACCTGAGAATCCAGGAAGGAATCCCGTCACACCAATTTGGGTTTCGTGAAAAGCATGGAACAATTGAGCAGGTCAACAGGATAACATCCGAAATTCGGAACGCGTTCGAAAAACGAGAGTACTGCCATACTTTTAGATGTCTCTCAAGCATTCGATAGAGTCTGACTGGAAGGTGTAATGTACAAGATCAAGACAATGCTCACCCACATCACCCACAAGATTTTGAAGTCTTACCTTCACGACAGAAAATTTGTCGTGAGGTGCAACACCGCTATATCCGATGATTACACTGTTGGAGCTGGAGTTCCTCAAGGCAGCGTGCTAGGGCCAATATTATATGTCCTCTACACAGCAGATATCCCGACAAGCACACGTCTAACAATATCCACGTTTGCCGATGACACAGCTATTCTTAGCCGCTCAAAATGCCCGATTCAAGCAACTGCGCAGCTAGCTCATCATATGGTCGATGTCGAAAAATGGCTGTCAGACTGGCGAATTAAAGTGAACGAACTAAAATGCAAGCATGTTACGTTCACTCTGAACAGGAAAAACTGCCCGCCGATAACATTAAACAACACTCTACTCCCACAAGCAAACGAAATAACATACCTAGGAGTTTATCTCGACAGAAGACTCACATGGCGCCGGCACATTGAAGCCAAAAGAACACACCTAAAGCTAAAAGCCAGCGGCCTTCATTGACTTATCAACGCTCGGTCACCTCTTAGTCTTGAATATAAAGTCCTGCTGTACAACTCGGTACTAAAACCTATATGGATGTAAGGCCTTCAGTTATGGGGGAACGCAATAGCAACATTGACATAGTTCAAAGAGTTCAGTCGAAGATCTTGAGAACAATCACCGGGGCACCGTGGTACGTTCGCAACGAAAACATACACCGCGACTTAAACATTCTACCAGTCAAAGAAGCGATCGCAGAACAGAAGGTAAAGTACTTCTGTAAAAGTAAAGTAACCAAGCTATCGGTGCACCCTAACCACCTGGCGAGAGGTCTAACAAGGTTGAGCAACCAATCACGCCTTCGTCGCAATGACTTTCCCACCCAGCGACCGACCTGAGGGACGCGCAACCCCTTGATCTTGATCAGGATCACCTCCTGAGTTGGTATAAGAATGTCCGACTGTCCGCCTGTCTGTCTGTTTCTACGCAAACTTGTCTCAGTTTTAAAGCTATCGACTTGAAATTTTTCAAACACCCTTCTTTCCTTTGCACGCAGTATATAAGTCGGAACGACCGGGATCGGCCGACTATATCCTATAGCTGTCATATAACTGATTGATCGGAAATATCCGATCCAACTATATCCGATGTTTGTGATATATATCCGGTTTTAACTGCAAGGGTATAACCATTTCGGCTCCGCCCTAAGTAAGCTTTTCTTTCTTGTTCTAGTTAAGTCCACGGAATGTATTAATATTGAAAACAGTTTAAAAAACGAAACTACTTTTTTAATGAAGGGGCCCATCCACAGGCGAGCTTGTTCGTCAACATGCTCGCCTACTTGAATTTCATTTTCATCACTAACTAGAGCCAACATTCGTGCGAACATCATTTTTCGATAAATTTTCAAACTATCAATATGTCAACGGACAACTATAGCGGCACTCTAATTGCACTTACGGCAATAAGTATTTGCCATAAATAATATTGCAAAATAATATTGCACTTTTTATTCATTTTTCTCTACCAAAACGTTTTTTCAAACTGACGTTCGTGCCAACATTGCCATCCATTGGCGAGCATGTTGTTGCAAACGTTGTCAAAATGGAACGATTTCAATTCCATTCGAACATTTTGACGAACACAAAATTTGACAACGCACACTACCATCCACAGGAAAAATTTCGTCGAGCACAACATGTTCGCCGAACATGCTCTCCTGTGGATGGGCAGGGGCCCCCTAAACTTCATGTTCATAAACCCCTAAACTTCTGGGTGCCACCCAGAAGTGAACATGAAGTTTAGGTGTCACCGCTGTATATTTGTGTTTCATTAAATTATTATGGTTTTTCCTATCTCAATTTGTATAAAGAAAAAATTACTTACCTTTGGGAACCACTCGAATTTGCAACCGCCCACTAACACAAGCGTTTCTTTCATTTACATTACTACCTGAAGGAAAGTTGCTTCTTTGAGAGGGAATGGTTTTCACATGCCGTGGTATCGCTGTATCTTTTAAAAGAAGAGCATCTAAATTTTTTGTATTATTTTGTTCTTCGTAATACGATACTGAAATATTTGGAAGGCTGTGTCGATATTTTAACATAGTTTTTCTTTCCGTCGACAACTTTGACTGAAACAAAGTTTCTTCTTTAAAAGACGATGGTTCAATTTGTCGTGTGACTTTCGATGCGGTTGGACTATTTTTAACAAATGATGTAAGTTCCGAACAATTTTCTCGCACACATATGTTTCTAGCTATATCCATCTGATACACCTGCAATTTAAGAAAAATATGATAAAACACAATATTTTTAAAAACTTTTTTAAAAGTCTTCTAGTATTTAAATGTACTTAACCATAGCTCTTGGTTAAAATTTCTTTCACACTTTTTTCTGAAAAAACCTACTAGCTAAATTAACAAAAAAAGCTATTAGAAATTCTTACTGTGTCTTCAAATGCGGCTTGCTGCACAGCGGGTGGCTCTAGGTTCTTTCTCAGTACATTACCCATAGCAGGCTCAGACCAGCAGTGCGGTATAGAAACTCTTAAGGTGTGGTAGTTCTCAATTCCGGTTATGTTAAGCGTATGTCTACATGAGAGAAAATCAAAATACAATAATTTTTTATTTTTTAATTTATTAAATCAGTATACAATTTTTTTCCACAGCAAAACCAAATTATTAACAACATACCTTCCATATTTATTTCAAAACCAATTAATTTTAAATATAGGCAACCATAAAATATATAGTTATTAAAGTTCAATTTATTTATTCAAAAGGCCATATTCTCAAATGTTATGTCAAATGCATGTAATGTAAAAGATTATAAAGTGCATAGATGGGACATCTTATACAAAGAATAATTTTCTATGGCGGATTCCAGCGCTGGAACTAAAACACCGCGACAACGAATGAGGGGTAGCCTAGTGGTAGAGTGCTTGGCTGATGTACAAAGTAAAACGAGTTCAAACTAGGCTCGGGACATCCATTTTTTTTTTAAATTTTTAATCTATTTATATTATATTTTTTTATTCTTTTAATGTGTTTTCCTATATTTATAATTCAATAAAAAAAATACAAAATTTTAAAATCACCTTAACATCGTTTCAGTTCGTAGTGGAACCCGCTGTAAAAATGCCTACAAGTGCGGGTCCTACGGCATTGTGGCAGGCCGCGTCGTGGAACCCGCTCTCAAATGTTTTCATTTTTAGCCGTCGTGGAACCCGCTGTAAAAATGAAAACATTTGAGAGCGGGTTCCACGACAAACGGCTGGCAGATGAGAGAGGGAAAGAGAGAATTCTATTTTTAGATCGTAACATCTTCGGAACGATGAAAGTTCGAAACATTCAAATCGAACCAATGTGATAGCAAAGAAATCAGAAATATCTTCTACTATCCTTACTCTTCAGCTCATGAAGAGCCAATTTTAAAACCAATTTTAAGTATCATTAGATCAACTTCGAGGGTAGCTTAGATGAATAGTGCGCGCTCCTTATTCTTGGGGTTCTGGGTTCGATTTCATAATGGGCGGTAGTTTTAATTTTTAGAAAATTGTAGTTTTATGATTATTTTTATATTTACTTTTATTTTTTACTTTATTATTATTTTTTATTTGCATACTATTACAATCGTTGTAAAAATAAGTGAACGACGTGTCGGATGACAAAATGCCGGACGGACTCCCTAGAATCCCCTCCCTTGAATCCTCTTATTGAATCCCTACTCCCTTATTAGCCGGACACAATGAAAAATTAAAAAATTTTACAATTTAAAATTAAAGAAAAATATTACAATTAAAGAAAAATAAAAAAAATATTAATTATAAAAGAAAAAAAATGTTTAAAGTCCTTACAAAAAAGTATACATAGAGTAACTACTCTATGATTTACGCTACCACCCCTTCTCGATCAGTGGCGATTAAAAATACTATTTGTTCTACTAACTACCACATTGGCGCATTGAAAACAGAAACGAGAAATTGAAATTGAAACTTGGAAGGCAAAACATTTTTACGCCGTCGTGCGAGCAGTCACGAATACATATAAAGGCTCACATTTTTGTTGACGGATCTTTTTCTTCCCTTTTTTTTTCGAACCTTTCGAACCTTTTTTCTTCCGATGTTCGCCCGATGCTTGCTATTCGGCTGCTAGTCTTCGCCCATTATAGACCGATTCCGATTTTTTCGTATGGTACTCGGCGCAGCACTATGGCTGCTAGGCGAAATAATTGGACAACATGAACAATCTATCGTTTCAGTTCTCTTCACGTGACCGTTTGAAGTGCTATGTAACGGAGGAGCCCTTTATGTAAAGAAAGTAAAAACAAAAGCTGGTTTATTATCACAGTATATGGTTTTAATGCTGGGAAAAACATTAACCAAGAGCAAAATAAAAACTTCAAAGTCTTCAATAGTGCGCGAAGCAATATGCTGCACCAATGAGAAATTGGAAAACTTGTCAACTCCCTTAAGAAAATATTTTCCGGCCGAATATATTTACGTGCAAAATCTCACCTACACGGGTATTTTCCCTGCTTTCTTCCCCGTCGTGAACTGCTTTCTTGCCCATTTTTGAAAAATAATAGACAAGCAAGACCTGTTTAACTTTTACCTGGGCAGCCGACCTGTCACCCTTTAAGACCATTAATTTTTATTGCTCGTCTCTCCTAATAAGATCTGTCACCCAAAGCATGCATTACCAGAACTTGGTAACGGGAAATAGCCCAACCAATTTATCCTGAATATAGGCCAGAGTAAGCAGCTTCCAAAAAACATTGGGATGAAATGCCTTTATTTTGCCCAAAACCGGAAAAGTTCGTGTTAATATATCAATAATGTTACAATTATTTCTAGCTAAGAAAAGTCCCTAGACATCGAAAATATTTATTTTGTATTTTATTTTTGAGCCCTCCTCCCTGTGGAGTCTTGCATCAGCTCTTGAAAGTGAGCTGTTCTTGCCACGTGGTGCGTGCAAGCTTGCTGATTAGTGAAGTTCCTAAATTTTGGCGTTCTCGAATTTTTAAACAGTTTGACCAATTAAAATACCTTAAAATGAAAAAATGATTTGCATGGTATGTAGAAAATATTTTAATAAGTGTTTAATTATATGTGCTTTTGTGTTGTCATGTTTTTAATGTAATACGTAAACAGTAGTTTTGTTGATTCTAACCTGAAAATATTTGTGTTTCGTGGAGCATATCTAGCAAGATACAACAGGATTCAAATAACAACTTATGTGGTAGTATGAGTTATTATGTGTATATTCAGATAGCATTTAAATAATTGGCATTTAATAAATATGTCAACAGATTCAAGCAAGGTTGCTATTCGTTGAGGTGATACTAGAAGTTTGGCTGGATGCAAATCGGAATTTCAACGCTACTTTTGACTGGGTTTGCGTCTAAGTAATTCCAAATAATTTTCCGGAAAACGATTTGTGATTAAACGAGGTGATTAAAAACAAAATAAAAAAACCTTATTGTTCAAATTAAGAGACTGCTGAATAAAGCACACAGAAATATTAGTCTCTTATGAAGAAGGAAGTTTACGGCATAAAAAAAAATTTGCTTCCGAACATGCAAAGAAAAATTCAACACTTCTACTTGTTGAAGAAGCTGCTATGTCTGCAAAGAAGGCAAAAACTACGTTAAAAATCACACTCATTGTCAAGTGAAGTTATTGCATTTTTAGTTTCTCCAAAACCGGAAGATGCAGCCCAAGTATATAGTGTTGAAGACGAGATTAAAAGTATACCATTTTTTACTTTGATTTAGAAAAACGTTTATATTAATACAAGTTTATGTACTTATTTTTAAGTTTTCGAAACTTAGCTATGTTATAATATGCAAAAATATTAATATATAAAAACGTTCTAATAATTTTGGATAAAAAAAAATAAAGAGAAAAGTATAACCAAAGATTATAAAGTACATAGATGGGACATCAGGGCCCAAAACGGTCAACTTTTTGCGTCGAGCTTGTTGGTGAGGGGGGAAACGCACATGCATACGATTCTATTTTTAGAACTCTTTACCATGTACCCGTCAACAAAAATGTAAACCTATGTGTGTATGTGTGACTGCTCGCACGACGGAGTAAAAATGTTTTGGCTTCCAAATTTCAATTTCAATTTCTCGTTTCTGTTTTCGATGCGCCGATGTGGTAGTTGGTAGAACAAATAGTATTTTTGATCGCCGCAGATCGAGACAGGATGGTAGCGTAATGCATAGAGTAGTTACTCTATGTCAAATTTTCTGTGTTCAAATTCTCGTAAGGACTTTGAACTATTTCTTTCTTTTATAATTATTTTATTTTTTATTTTTCTTTTATTGTAATATTTTTCTTTAATTTTACAATTGTAAAATTGTTGTATTCTTCATTATGTCCCGCTAATAAAATTCTAATAAAATTTCAAGGGAGTCCTTCCGGAATTTTGTCATTCTACACGTCCGTCACTTATTTTTACAACAATTGCAGTATAATAATAATAACGTAAAAATTAAATGTAAAAAAAAAAATTAATAAAAAAATATAAGTAAATATAAAAAGAATCATAAAACTAAAGCTTTATTAAAATTTAAACAACCGTCCGCTAATGAAAACGAACCCAGGACCCCATGAATAAGGACCGCGCACTATCCATCTAGGCTACCCTCGAAGTTGATTTTATGGTGTTACTTTAAATTGGTGTTAAAGGAGGCGCTAGAATCCATACCAAACACAGAGCTGACGAGTAAGGATAGTAAAAGATATTTCTGATCTCTTTACTCTTACATTGGTTCGATTACAACGTTTCAAACTTTCATCGTTCCAAAGATGTTACGATCTAAAAATATAATTCTCTCTTTCCCTCTCTCATCGGCCAGCCGTTTGTCGTGGAACCCGCTCTCAAATGTTGTATTTATTACAGTGGGCTCCACGACGGAAAAAATGAAAACATTTGAGAGCGGGTTCCACGGGCTCTAACCCTTCTGCTGGTTCCACTGCTGGAACCCGCCATAGAAAATTTTTCTTTGTATGAGATGTCCCATCTATGTACTTTAGAATCTTTGATTCGGCTTAAATCGATCGCGGAGTATAGGGAAAAAACGAAAAATTTGGTTTTGAAATTGCCTTGCTGGGAGTCACAAATGTAAAGGGCTTTTTTTTAAGAGGTATACAAAGTTGGTATTATTGTTCAAGATGGCATCCAATTTACCAACTGTCAGATAATTTATTCTCATTTTGGTTTGGCAATTCATCATGAAAAGACTCATGCCTGTAAAGCACTTGCTAATAGTGCAATATTATTTCGAAAATAATGGTTCTGTGCGGAATACGTTTCGAATACATTACGTTTCGTTACCGTCCACAAAATCTTCCATCAGAGTAGTTAATTCGATTAACCATGGAACGTTTTCGCACCACGTTTACTCTTATTGATAACTTGCATCCCCAGAGGTGCGTACAGAAAAAGCTATTGCTACTGTAGAGTGTAGCATTGAAAAAGGACGGAATGAGTCCGTCCGCCATTGAGCACCGGAATTAAATCTGTATTCGTCCACTTTATGGAAGATTTTGCGGCAGGATCTTGGTTTGCGTGCTTGCCAA